ACCAGAGTCTGACCCAGAACCAGAGTCTGACCCAAAACCAGAGTCTGACCCAGAACCAGAGGAGAATTAAGACAAACAAATTGTAGTTGATAAGTCCAGACCTTATATGGTAATTCCGTCGCATATTATTTGACACAATAATTCAGAAAACGTCATGGAAAATAGTGAAAACTGAACGTGATGAAAAATATGAACCAAACAGAATATAAAGATATCTTTGAAGCACCAGGAGAGACTAAATTCAACTTTTCTGCTCTCATAGAGACTCTAAGTTCACAACAAAATATACATTAACAGCTAAAAGAGTGTATTATGCATGATACGTTCCCTTTAAAGTATATATCTTGCATTCAGTGCCAGGATCACCAATGAATTTATTCCTTCACGCTTTAAGACAAACACACTGTAAACAAGCAACKCTTGTGGGAGAAATGAGGCTCAAAGCCTCATGGTGCTTCTCTCTCTGTTGTTAAAGCCAACAGCACTTATGACTGAGCACAACCGACAAATTAGCTGGGATACAGTCTGGTCTGAAGTCACATCACTGTTTGTCTGAGAAAACAYGATCAGGAAGCGAGGAAAGCAAGACTGCACCAAAATCCAGTCACAGCTAGTCCAACCTTGGAGTAATCTTGCTGTTTTTTATAATTAGCGTGCGCCTTGTTTACAACAGCTGCTCACGAGACACGGAAACTTCAGTCCAGCTCCCGGATTTTAATTACACCTCAACCGTTCACAGAGCTTAAATGTTTTGCTCCGCGTTTTGTTCAATTAGCAGAGGGCTCCGGTGGAAGTTAAATTGGAAGAACGCCGCCCGAGGCACGCACCTTTCATCTGCGGAGGCCACGTTGAGGGTTTGAAGCCGCTCCAACCAGTGTCGAACGAGCGCTGCAGAAGCCCTGACAACACGGCGTTTGTTGCGGGGTGCATTCTCAGTTCACCATGTAACACAAGTGGACTGCAGTGCCAAGCTAATGTTTCCACATGACAGCTTGAATTTACAGAGGGGCGCTGCAGGCCTTTTAAAACACACACGCGCACGTATACGCACAGAAAACCCATGTGCATGCACCTAAACATACATCCACCTGTTAACAAACACACATCTGACCCTGAAATAGTAAAACCAGTGGTGCAGCCTCAGTCTATTGTTGTGTGTGAAAGTAAATGGTGCCGTATGATGTTCATGCAGATACTGCAGGCACTTTGATAAACACGTTGCCCAACCTGGGCAGTGCGCGGGTCAGGTTTTTGTGGTTTTAATCACTCATTTTAATGCTTAGACCTCCCATATAATTTCAAAATCTAACTTAAAGGCACAATGTGTAGGATTTGTTGTTTTCAGCGACATCTAGTGGTTGAATCATCCTCCCTGGTCCTCCCCCCACCCCCACCCCCRCTTCCAAACRCAAAGGAGTTGCTACGGTGTCTCTCGGGGGTCAAAAACCTTTGATAATTCCAACCGCCATGTCTACCAGCAGCTTCAGGGCTAGTGATGTTTCAAGTGGTAAGATTATGAGCTTTAATAAGTAAAATTATCCCAGCTACAATGACAGACAACAARTATTACATTTATAGTATTACAACTAAAACCGTTTTTGACGCCGCCACCGCAGTTTGTCCTTCATGAGCCTTCGTAGACAAGATGGCGGCTGCCTGTAGTGGCGACCCGCGACCATGGAGATATAAATAGCTTTTTATAAGGTAAAAATAATAAAACAAGGTCTTTGTCTGCAATGATTAGACATGTTTTTTATCATTGTCATTAGTGATTATCTCAATTTCGGTTAAAACAATTGACAAAATCCTACACACTGTGCCTTTAAAGTGCCTGTGACATCAGTTTTTTTTGTAATAATACAAATGCATATTTAGAAAGATAACATTGAGAACATATTACAAAATAATTTTCATGCTGCTGAGATGAACAGTTGTTGAGATGTTTACATGTAAAGTAACAGGAAGTGATGTCAAAGGGGAATGTCTGCATGAAAACAGAGATAATCTAAAATGCTCAACAGCCCAAACTGTGGAGATGAGTCTGATGTTTTAGATTATTTTGAGTCGCTATCAGACAGGGRAAAAAAAGAGTCAGAGTTCAAATCATAATGTTTCAATAAACAAAGACCAGTGAGTTCTTTTTCTTAAAGGAGTTCCCCTTTGATGTCACTTCCTGTTTCCCTTTTGCTGAGCCAAGTTCAAAAGGAAATATGTTAATTGTGTGTCCAAATGGGTAAAACAATGTGTGGCATAAGTTTCTTAAATAGAACGTTTTCTTTGACTTTTTGTGTCTGAAGGATAAGCATGTCACAGGCACTTTAAGGTTTTGTGTAGTTTGTTTTCTGCTTTGGTTTGAAAAATTGTTGCAAAATTGTGACGCGCACAATGTCTATGGGGCTACGTGATTGTTTTTATGGTATAATGGAAGTAAATGATGCACTTGCTTCCAATTTTTAAAATTTGATGAACTCAAAGCCCTTAATGGGTGGTCTGATTTTAAAAAAACAACTAAACAGTTTTGGAATCCGAGCTTTATGAGTAAAATAAATAAATAAAATAAGGAAAAACAGCTCGAACAAGAGTTTGAAAATTTTATCTAAATCCCTAACTACTGCTACCCTGAAAACAAACATCAGCAAACTGTTCTGTGCTGAGCAGATATTTGGTGAACCAGGGAGACTCTACAGTGACCACGTTACACTGGAGTCTTCATGGAGAGAAAGTGTGTGAGCACTCAGCAGGTACACTTAAGATCTTTGCAGCTGCCTCATAGAAATGATCTGCAAATTGTGTTTTACACCACTTGAGCATGGTTTAAGGTGTAAACATAAAAGGGCTAAAATCAGATGTTAAACATGAACATCTTTCTCAGAAAAGAAGCAGCAACAACATCTACGACGCAAAATACTCACATCGCTGAAGCATCGTCTCTTGAGAAAAGGCCTACTGCCTGGGATATTAAAATGTCCATCCAGTAAGGAAGTCTTTACCATCCTGAGCTCAGTCATCGCTCCGCAAGTGCAGATGCAGGCGAGCCAACAAGATGTCACCGTCAGTCAAACGGAGAGAAAAAAAAAAGAGTCGAGATTGACAATGACACTTGACACTCGCAGTCTCTCAGGCTGCAAAACCTGGGAGAGAAAACTCAACAGCTGTCCATCAGAGCTCGTATATCTACGCGAACGCGTGTGCTGTAATGTGAGAAYATTATTTCTCTTCCTTCCTCTTTTCAAATTTACCCCTCAATCTGCCCCCACCCTCCTGGTGAAACACAGCTGTTCTTTAGGAAGTACGACAAAGGAGGAACAATGTTGCTCCCCTCCCAGTGCGTTCTGTTCAACGGACCTCTCATTTTAGTGCAATCGCGCACACTTGTGTGTGAACAACCACACCCACACAGTTCTCTTTTTTCTTATATCGCATTTTAAGAATGTTCTCTTCCCCCTTTTTTTCGGTCTTAGATTTCTTAAGTCAATTTCACATAAAGAAATCTGCTCTGAACACACAGAATCCACTCCGTAGACTAAATTTTACAATTAAGATGACAAAAACGCTCATTAAAAAAATCCATGCCCTTCACATGTCGGTGCAGACAGATCAAAACTTGTGTTTAGGTTCAGTAAATTACGTTTTATATATTAAACTTTTAAAAAAATGAAGAAATAAAATCACAGAAACGTTTTACAACCAATCAAGTAGCCAAAAGGAAACGTCATTTAAAAGCCGGAGAGCTTCAGGTGAAAAACGTTTCACAGTCCCACAGTTTTGTAAAGGAGAACAACAGCCCCGTGTGTTCTCACATCACCCAGAAGGTTTTAAAAGGTTCTGCAAGTCAGAAAAGGCAAAAAGTCCTGTTTCGTGCAGAGGTAGAAAGCCCGACAGGGGGTTTATACAAACCTCAAACAATTTGGACCATCAGCTAAGAATCGGTATGGTATGAGAGCAAAAGGGGAAGTGGGAGACGGAGGAGGAAAGGCCAGATAYAAAAGACAAGGAAGCACTGCAGGTTAAGAGAAAAGTGTTATCAGACAATCCTCCTCAGGTACCAATACTGATGATAAATGTCTGATGAGACTTTTTTTATTAAGAGGCTGGATTCTACTCATATCTAGTTGTGTTCAAGATAATAATAATAATAATAATAATAATTACAGTGGCTTTCTTTTACTTCTCTTTCTTTATTCTATCTCACCCTGTCCTGTTTTGAGCTGCTGTAATGTGCAAATTTCCCCACTGTGGGATCAATAAAGTTTTATCTGATCTTACAGAGATTTATATTTTTTAATGGAGGAAACA